GGGTTAGGTTAAGGGTTAGGGTTAGGTTAAGGGTTAGGTTTAGGGTTAGGTTTAGGGTTAGGTTAAGGGTTACGGTTAGGTTAAGGGTTAGGTTTAGGGTTAGGTTTAGGGTTAGGATTAGGTTTAGCTTTAGGGTTAGCTTTAGGGTTAGATTTAGGGTTAGGGTTTAGGGTTAGGGTTAGGTTAAGGGTTAGGGTTAGGTTAAGGGTTAGGTTTAGGGTTAGGTTTAGGGTTAGGTTAAGGGTTAGGTTAAGGGTTAGGGTTAGGATTAGGGTTAGGGTTAGGTTAAGGGTTAGGGTTAGGTTAAGGGTTAGGTTTAGGGTTAGGTTTAGGATTAGGTTTAGGGGGGTTAGGTTTAGGTTTAGGGGTTAATTTTAGGTTTAGGGTTTACAGCGTGCTTCTGTCTCCGCGCTGTTGTCGCCCTGTTGAGGACGTCAGCGACGCAGTTTAGTCGGACGCGGTTTAGTCGAGCGCTGTTTTGTGGTGGAACCCCCATCCCTACCCCATCAGCCTGAATAGGTCTGATTTTGTGAAAAGTTAATTATATACATAGGGGACAAGTCTGTACTGGAATGTTTTATTGTAGGCCCAATGTGTCTTCTTTTATAAGAGATGAGTGAAAGCTGAGACCTCAAGAGTACTTATAGACTTCATATTCCTTTTATGTACCTTCTAGAGCAGGGGTGTCAAACTGACGGCCTGCAGGCTGAATGCATCACGTACAGACCACGCCCACCCTACCTGTGTGAATGGGGAAAAAAGAACGTTGTGAAATGTCATGTGACAGCAACATGATGTTGCATGTTTGACACCCATGCTCTAGAGCTTCCTACTATGACATTTGCCAAAAATGGATGAAGAGTTTTCCCATTAGAAATGGGGAATGCACAAGAACTGTGTTATAAACTCAAAAAATAAAAAACCCAATTCATTTTATCCCAATGTTAGGGGAATAGCCAGTTTGAGTGAGACAAAACCCTATTCATTTTGCAGTGTAGAACTGAACTTCTCAGTCCTAGAAACCCTAGAAACCAAAGAACTGAGTATAGTATTCTCATTATAATGTCAGCATCTTTATTATAGTAGTATTTTTCTGGTCACTTAAAGATCAGAAAATATATCCAACATCTTCAAGATTTGTTGTATTTTATTTTATGTCATTTATATGTCTTCCAAATAAGTTCCACTGTATGATTAACATTTAAAATTCATAAAAACCATAAATTATGAAAGCACAACAATTAAAATGTAACATCTAAATTAACAACAAATGAATTAGATCAGAGTTCCCCAACCTTTCTGGCTTTGTGGACCGGTGCGGGGGGAGGGAGAGAGGGGTTGGTTTTGCATGAGTAAGGGGCAATCATGTACGTGCATGCACCTCCATTTGTGCAAGTGGTGGCATGGGGCACTCCATGGCTAGGGGTAAGGGATCCCTGAATTACATCATTTCTAAAGAGATGACTGTGTATTCTTTGGGGAAAAGAGAGGTATAACAATAAAATATGTATATAGTAGTAACAGGAGAAGATACACGTGTGACTACTCTTTGTTCTCATACTAGTAAATTAGTAGATTTCTTTGTTTGTAAATAATAGAAAAACATGGAAGTAAGTAGAATAAAGGTGGTCCTTGACTTATGATCACAACTGAGCCCCAAATTTTTGCTAAATGAGACATTTGTTATGTGAATTTTACACGTTATGACCTTTTTGACATAGTTGTTAAGTGAATCACTGCAGTTGTTAAATTAGTAACAAAGCTGTTAAGTGAATCTGACTTCCCCATTGACTTTGCTCGTCAGACGGTTACAAAAGGTGATCACAAGACCCCAGGACACTGCAACCATCATAAACATGGGCCAGTTGCCAAGCACCTGAATTTTAACCATGTACCATGGGGATGCTTCAATAGTTGTAAGTGTGAAAAAAAGTCGTAAGTCACTTTTCTCAGTGCTGTTGTAACTTTGAACAGTCACTAAATGAACTGTGGTAAGCTGAAGACTATTTATATAACATAGCCTAAACAGCCAATACAATCATAGTTTCATAGAGGGATCTTGCTGGTCTTTTAGTTCAATCTTCCGCCAAGTGCAGAATTCTCAGATTATTTGTACAAATAATTATCTAATTCTTGAAAACTTCCAGTGATGAAGCAAATACCACTTCAGTAGGCAGGCTGCTTCTTTGCAGCCTGTCTACTGACTTCATTGCTTTATTACTTTTACAGTCATTCATTTATTTTAGATTTGGCTCTTACTGTAAAGCTTCTACCTACTGGTTTTTATTTTACTTTTGGGTGCTTTGGGTTCCATTAATAAAGCATGACAATTGCACAATAAAAACCTAGTGTAAAAGTACCCAGGGTCACAAGAGGGAAAAAGAGATCCTCCATTATCACTGTACCCTTTTTTAATATGTTATACCAACTCCCTCAATTCTAGAAATTAGAAGTTCTTTACTAAATTCCTCTTGGAGTTGTTAGATAATAGCCTTTGGCAGCTTGTGCATTGATTGCTTCAAATCTCTGTTCATGTATTTGAACAATGCTGAAGAGTGTAAAAGTAAGCATAATTAATGCTTTCCTTGGGCTCTGTGTGCCTCTGATGGAATCTTTGCTCAGCTGTGCTGGACATAAATCAATAATAATGCTGTTACTTGTTAGAAGTCCTAAAACTATTATTTCTTTTTAGCCTCTCCCTGTCCTGAATCTTGTCTCCCCCCTCCCTGCAATTAATAGTTAAGTAACGTGATTGTGACAGTAAAGTAATCCCAAATAAACCTAATTGGATTGTTTTTTAAACTCAGAACATACCCAAGTGGGAATTAAGTTACAAGTTGGGGGGAAAGGAGAGAAGTTAGTCAGAAACACAATTCTTCATAGCTCAAGTAATACTGATTGCCTATATAGTTACAGGTAAACCATACGTGGAAGAATATGAAGAAAATCTATGTAGTCACTCTGAGTCGATACTGATTCAGTGGCACATAATCAGTCAATTAATTCACCAATCTATCAAGAGAAAGCAATGTGTGTTGAGACGAATTTTGTTTCAGAAGCTAGCTTCTATTAGTTGCTCATAATTAGAAAATTGCACTCACATTTATACTCATGCCAATCTAAATTGAGGTTCTGAGATTAATATGCAGATTGGAGATTGGTTATTTCTCAGAATATACCTGCCTGTGAATTTTGCAGGTCTAAGTTTAGAAATTGTACATATGGATCATTGGAGAGCAACAGCTGATACTAGAATCATTATTCCCTTTATGATGTTTCAAATTGTTTATTTCCCATTTGCTATGTGTAAATAATTGAATGAATACTACTTCAATTAATAGTACTATGAATAATAACAACAATGGATAATCCTTTAACCTTTGGGAATCAATATTGATCGGTTTCAGAACCTGGATTAAATAGAAAGTAAGCAAATTGTATTTGTAAGACAGAGCTGAGCAATTTTTGGGACACTGATTCAATCTCCTCAATTTCTAGAGAATGTTCTTGCAAACCTTTTGCAAACCACTGGCCAAGCCATGTGTAATCCTCAAGGTAGGAAAGGTTATACACCCCTGTCATAGCTGTTCAAGAAAATTGTTTTTAGATTTACAGGGGCTAGGCAGCATTTAAATACGGGGTGCTGAAAAAAAAATCAAATTGTCTTTTAAAATCAAATGTTTTAATAATGCATTTACTCTATTGGATATTTGCTTACCATTGCACAATATAATAGGCTATTATCAAGGAATTCTTTCAATCATATCATAACTCTTTCCCTCTTTCCCCTTTTCCTACTCTATATGCCTATAAATATTTTGAGGTAAAAAAAATACTTTTTTGTTAGTTCCCAACACTGATATCTTCTGTTTTTAATCCCTAACCAGTGAACCATCATGTCAGATAAGAGTGACTTAAAAGCAGAGCTGGAACGTAAAAAACAGAGATTAGCTCAAATAAGAGAGGAGAAAAAAAGGAAAGAAGAAGAAAGGAAGAAGAAAGAGGTAAATGTATGTGATCCAATATGTTAAGGTATTGTTCCTACTTTTTACTTATGTCTATTTTGGATTAATATTTTTTCATCATAGAGAAAATAGAAAAGAAATACAATCTGGTACAATGTCAGTCTTGTCATCTCTGATGCTTTCGATCCATCTTATATGTTGAGCTCTCCTGAACTTTGATAAGCATATTTATTTCTTTTTAGTCCGTAACTTGTATCCATGCCCAAAGTATGTAGATTTTTGTTTGCTGTGAATTGCTACAAGAGACCTAGTGTAAGGGTGGAAGTAACAAAGCAGGACTCAAAATGATTATGCAAATATTAAGCAGATGTCTCCCATTGTCAAGATCAGAAGTATAGGATCAAATTTCTGTTTGCTTGAAAAGGTGAGAGAAAAAGACTATTTATCTACAACAGGGCTGTTAAATTCCCGTCCTGTGGGCCAGATGTGTCATGCGCTGGCTAAGCACATGCCCGGTTTGGTGAAGGGGAATTTATTTATTTATTTGTTTGTTTGTTTTTGTTTTTTGTCAAACATGTACAAGATAACAAGTATAGGTATGAACATAAACATGAACAAAGGAAATAAATGCAAATAAATGGGGACAGTAAGAAGGGACTGTAGGCACGTTGGTGTGCTTATGCACGCTCCCTTTATGGATCTCTTAAGAATGGGGTGAGGTCCATGGTGGACAGTTTGAGATTGAAGCTGTGACAATGGAGTCAGAGCATTCCAAGTGTTGCCACTCTGTTGCTGAAATTGTATTTTCTGCAATCGAGTTTGAAGCGGTTTACCTTGAGTTTGTATTGATTATTTGCCCGTGTATTATTGTGGTTGAAGCTGAAGAAGTCATTGACAGGCAAGACATTGTAGCAGACAATGTTATGTACTATGCTTAGATCGTACCCCAGACAGTGCAGTTCCAAGATTGTCCAAGCCCAAAATTTCAAGCCTGGTAGCATAGTGAATTCTATCGTGGGTAGAGGAGTGGAGTACTCTTCTTGTGAAATACCTCTGAATCCACTTAATCATGTTAATGTCCGATATACAGTGTGGGTTCCAGGTAGATGAGCTGTAAAATATACCTATATGTCACATGATGTCACATGACAAGGTGAGTTTGACACCATGATCTATAATATAGGCATGATGTTGGTCATCTGAAATAAAATGATCTGTATATATTTGGCTTCTATCTTGCCTGTCTGAAGCAAGTAATCTTAGTTGTGAACTTTTCCTCTAAGTAAGGTTAAGAGTTTTGGTATATCACGTTGCCTAGTATGAACCTTAACAATGGCAAGTTTTAATTTAGTTGGGAACCTATTGATTGTTCTTTCATAACTTAAACTTTTAATTTGCAGACCTATAATTCAGAAATGTTTAGCTTATTTTTCTTGCTTTGCAGATCTATAATTTAGACATCTCTAGCTTTTCTATTTTTTTCTTTTTGTGTCCTGATAAGTTGGCATTCATTATAATTGGTGTATAAGTACAAAAAGCTGTTGATAATTTCAAAATAGTTGTGGCTTGAAATGGAATTGTTTATTTGTGAAAACATAATTTGTGATCACCTTATGGCTGCTGCAATATTTATGGGTGTTGCAATATCTTCATGGAGGGCTTATTATCTGGGGAGGTCTTATTTTTGGAAAAACAGGTTATCATCCATCCATCCATCCATCCATCCATCCATCCATCCATCCATCCATCCATCCATCCATCTATCTATCTATCTATCTATCTATCTATCTATCGTTCTACCTATAACATAAAGAAAAATGCAATTGCAATCTGTATCTCCCTCTCTCATTTTATGGCTGGCTAGTTTGGTTGCTAAGGTAGCAAATTTGCATTTACTGTTCTTCAGCAAAATAAATGATAATTATTTTTGCATTGTTGCTTCCTTGTTTAGAATACTGTCTTATTCTTTTAACATGACATATTATTTGATATATCCTGAAGAATGTGCATGGGGATTTTTAATTAAGTAATTTATGCTCCTCCCTTTTTAATTCAATCATAGCATAAAATAGAGATAAGAATTGACAGTGAAATTCATTTAATACAAAATCAGGGAAGCATTAAATGATGCCATTTCCCTTTTTGTCAACAATAGTTGCAGTAAAAAATACCTGTTATCCTTTGGATATTATAAGGGAATTAATTATAGATATATTTTACAATTCCCTAAATATTTGAATGACTTATATTTTGGAAATACAGAATAGCATTTTCAAGATCCAGATTAAATGCGTTGTTATCAGATATGCTATATGGTAGATTTCAAAAATGCTTTCTCTTAAAGACTTTGTACCTGTAATGGTTCTGATCTTGAAATGGTGGGCATTTTATTATAGTGTGAATTTTATAAGAATTTTATGTGGGAAGTTAAATCAAGATGCTTCTGAGTATATAAGCATTTTAATGCAGATACAAATCCTCAGATTACACATCCATGTACATGTTTGTCTCTTTCATGCATTCACACAAACATCGTATATGGATGTGTATGATAAGAAGGCAATACCTTTCATCATTAATGATTTAAAGAATTTTCTAGCCTCACCCAACATAATTGTTGAAATGATATAAAGCTTGACTTAATTAATACATTATAGGCCCAGCAATGATTGGATGATCTAGAAGATACTATACAGCCTGCCCATATGCTGTGCAATTAAAGATTGGGTGGAGAAACACATTCATTTCCAACCTGGGAGAACTGTTTCTGCTCCATGTGTTGCATGCAAAACTGAGCTAGATTTTGCCAGATCTCCTGCAGACAGTTGGACAGTTTCTTACATGCCTAGACATTTTTTATTTAGGCAAATACTAATCTTACTTTTCTAGCTATACATCAGCAATAGCAGTGCAAAGATTAAAATTATCATCTTAAAATACAGATTAAATCTGTATTTGGTATCTGGCTTGGTATTCTATTGGCATTGATATTGTGTGATTATGTTAAAACAGCAATAAAAAGACCTGTTGGCAGAGCAAAATAGCCAAAATTGTAATTGGGAAGTATCTACCATATTGTTACTTTTTCAGCTGAAAGTTGAGGAAAGGGGCCAAATATACTTCTGTTTAAAAAGCTGATGATAGTCATATATAGATGTGTTTTATGGGGATTAAAAATAATAATTTAGAAATGGTTGTTGTTCTCTTTGCAGTGCATTAAATGCACAAATGCATTTAACATGTCTTGTTTTTCCTTTAAAAACAATACATAGTTATTGAGGTAGAAATTAGGATGAACACGTTTTTTGCTTACTCTGCAATTCTATTGAAAATCCCACCACTGAATCTGCTTCTTCTCCTGGAAGAGAGGCTACCGGTCATCTGTGAATCATTCTAGTTACTTGAATTTTCTGAATAATTCTTCATTGCTGTTAATTCAGGCGGATTCTCAGCAGAAGAAGGAACCACCCCAGGAAGATTCTGATCTGGATCGCAAGAGAAGAGAGACTGAAGCTTTACTTCAAAGCATTGGTATTTCCCCAGAACCTCCTCTAGGTACTCTTAATAGATCCATTAATGTTTTTCAGTTTCTGTAACATTCATGCATTATTTTAATTACTGCATGCTTAGCTTTTATTGTCTTGATGTGTCTGTGATGAAATGTATGTGGTTATACATCATGTAATACATGATTGTATGGCTTGTTGATAGCAATTCTCATCCCCTTCCTTGCTGAACATCAGCTTTGTATGCCAGCATAGTTGTCACTCATGCCACCATTAGTAGCTTGTGTTCCATCTTTCTTGGAGCAGGGCTTAAATTATTTATAATAACTGCCACTTTCAAGATAGATTTACTCATGGAACCCAAGAATAAAAATGTACATACATAAATTATAAAACAAAAGAACCTTTTTAGTTTGTTCACTTGGATTTTTGTTCAGTATATACATTTTCCCTCTTCATTTTTTGCTGTTCTTCAAGAAGATGGAATCAGTGCTGCAGCAGTGTGCCACAAGCTGTGCCATTTTTGTATGTGCCTTCAACATTGCAGTGTACAAACATAAATGAGTAGGGTTGTGTTATGATGCTGCAACATTGGTTCCATCATTTTGCCCCTTGTTCACTCCCAGAGAAAACACTGAGCACAATCTAAAGAAGTCTTGGATAATATTATTAAATAATGTGATCTTTCTACAGATTTTAAAGCAGTATTTCTCAAACACTGCAACTTTAAATTATATGGATTTCAACTATCAGGATACCTGATGTTGTCTGGGGCATTCTAAAGTCCACACATCTTAAAATTGCCAAGAAATATTTAGAAATATTGTTTTAAAGCTAGGGCTTCCTTGATGATATTTTTTGCAAACCAGAATTTAGCTTCTACTGGCATGGCTGATAGAACCAAGAAGTAGAATTGGTGGATAATGACTCATTGTCATTATCCCTTCACACATATTCTTGCCAAACTGTTTTTATTACAAAACAATGCCTTTGGGTTTTCTTTCAGTTTATTCTGATGACAGTTCATGGGGAGAATATGTGTACAATTTTGGAAATCAAACTGTGGCCAGGCTGCTTCACTGATGTTTCTGCCAACATATGTGAATGGTTGAGCAAAATGAGCTAAATCAAGAAATACAGGTTGTCCTCAACTTATAACCACAATTTGGAGTTTGGAATTATGATTGTAAGTCATGCTGGTCATTAAGTGGGTTACCACGTGACTATCTGACTTTACAACCTTTTTTGTTGTGATAATTAAGTGAACATGGCAGTCATTGAGCAAACCCCATTTTAGCAGATGGGTGGTTTTTTTTTGCCAGAAATTAGACGTAAACACTGGTTTCCCGCAAAAAGAAATAATCATAAATTGCAGTCATGTGACTGGAATGTGATCAGATTACCAAGCATCCAAAATGCAAGTGTGACGGGGGGGGGGGAGCCATTGGAACTTCAAAATGGGGTTTTAAGTACCTTTTGGGGCAGGAGTTGTCATAACTTTAAATGGTTGCTAAGCAATTGGTTGTAAATTGAGGACTACCTGTATACATTTAAACATGAAGTTGAAATACCCATTGTATTTTTGACTGTGGTTGTGTGAAGATTAGCTCTAATTGGCTTGTTTTTATTTTATCTTACTCCTTCATTGCCTAATTAAATGTGATTGGGAGTTTTCACTTTAAAAAAAATTGTAGTTCACCTTTAATTTATACATTTGATATAAAAAAGTTCCCTTCCTTCCAGCCTAGAGATTTATTAAATTAAATCATGGAAAGTAATCCTATAACCAAGGCTTGACCAAGGTATGACCAAAATGGTTTATGCTTAATATTGTACACTTGGGAAAACCTGGTCAGTTATTTCCTTCCAATTAGATTAGTTTTGGAACTCTAACTGAAGTTCTTAAAAATAGTTGAGTCCATAATTCTATCCAAATACTGATTTATATTTATGTTTGATCATCCACAGCAGGTGGCAGCTTCTAACTGACCTTGGCTTATCTTGGCAAAAAAAAACCAAAGCAGTTGTGAATGTGATTGATTCTGAGATGGGAGATCATCAGCAAATTCAAAAGCTTAAGTTATATGAGAATCAAAAAACTAAAGCCAACATCACATCGTCCTGGAAGAAATCTACTTTATTCTTGCCAAGAAAACTACCAATGTCAAGTTAAAATCAAAAGAATGTATCTATATTTAAAAATACTTATCTGAAAGTTTGTAAATAAATAAATATACTTTATACTGGTCCAGAAGTGATTCTCTGTTCTTCTTGAATTCTGCATATAAATTAAAATAGGTATTGGTTATTTTTATCTTGGTTTCACCAATATTATAACAAATTTAAAAGTAATTAATTATATACAGGGTCAATGCAAGGGAACTTTAATAAATGCTGATTGCAGGTTTTAACTAAACCATTTTAGAACACCTGTTGGACTGACCTGGGGGTGTGGGGAGGGTGTGTGTCAGGCATGCCTCCTTCAATATCCAAGAAAGAAAAACCTCAACTCCATTTGAATAGAGATAAAGTACTTTTACTAGATATGAATTTAAAACAGAAAAAAGGAAAGCAAGATCTGAGCCAAATAGGCGTGAACAAGTACATATCAAACGATTGCCCAGCCCCCTCTCTCCAGTTACCCCAGCCTAGTGCCCAATCTGCAACTCCCTAAGGTGTCATGTGGGGTGCATCTTCAAAAGGCCTTATCAGGTTGGTATGCGGGACGGTTGGCCTTGACCAAGTCCAAACATCAGCCATCAGCATGCGCAGAAGATGGTTAGAACAAAACTCCCTTCTACATAACTCCTCCAGTTTCATATAATTCCCTTAAGCAATACTATGCCCCCACCCTCCCTGTTTCTGTGGCAGCTGATAGCAAGCAAGCGAAGCACATCACAAAGCTCTAGTCCCTCTGGAATCCCCCTGGTATTTTTTTACAGAAAAGTCTGAGATTTTTGTAGAGGATCAGGAATAATATTTTTATTGTGCTGGCAGAAAAATGCCAAATACGTTAAATAAGGCTGAGAAGAAAAAGGAAAAAAAAGCTCGCGGAATTCACATCTGCTGGAATCATTTGCCATAAACAACCAATCTGAGCATAAAACTATAGAGTATTACATTAATAGCCAGCATACCTGCGAGTCCGCCTACTGCCACATACCTCCCAGTGGCCTGTAAAATCCCACAGATTGGGCCTCCTTCGGATGCCCTCAGCCAGACAATGTCAGCTGGCAGGCCCCTGGAGGAGAGCCTTCTCTGTGGCTGCTCCGACCCTTTGGAATGAGCAACCCCCAGAGATCTGGACTTTACCCACTCTCATGGCCTTCAGGAAAGCTGTTAAAACATGGCTATTCCGGCAGGCCTGGGGCTGTTAACCTCACTGTTGAGGTCCAGCCCTGATTAGAACGAATGCATATGTTGTGATTTTAAATCTGTCTTTCTTTTTTATTATTTTTCTCTTCCTTCTTTTGTAAGCCGCCCGGAGTCCTTCGGGATTGGGCAGCATATAAATTTTAATAATAAATAAATAAATAAAATAAATAATGAATATTAGTGATCTTAAAGACACAAGAAGCTATTCTGTTTTGTGATATTAAATAAATGTCCAAAATATCTTTTCTTTCTTGAACTATACTTCTTGTTTTCATAGAAAATTAGAAGGCTTTTTTAAAAAGTTTTTTGCTCGGTAATATTTTGAATTGTCCGTTATAATTCCATTTTTAAGTAGCAACAAAAACATTTAAGCTCTAACTTTGGTAAAAACAAAATTATCAAAAATAAATTGCCTACTGCCTGCCCATGCTTTAAAAATCAGTTTTACTTCAGGTCAACGTTGACTTTTAATTTTTTAATATAAAAAAATGGGCTCTGATGTTAACCCAGTTCATGGGCCAGTTTAAACTTCCCTAAAATTTAATTAGCAAAAATATTTAGAACTGACTGGTTTTTTCTTTTCTTCTCCTTTTTTCACCATTTAAAACCCTCCTGCATGTGCAATCATTTTATTATTTGGATCCCGGTTCATAATTTTCTTGACGGTGCTCTACATCAGTGAAATCATTGCATGTTTTAACATGGGATACCTGTTATTTTCATTATTTAGTCCCAACCCCTATGTCTCCCTCTCCGAAATCAGTGAGCACACCCAGTGAAGCTGGAAGTCAAGATTCGGGAGAGTTGGGACCTATAGGAAGGTAAGATAAAATGTTCACATTATGTGCTATCTACTTCTCTTGAGGATATTTTTGGGAAATGTATTTCTGTCATGGTTCTTGTGTGACTGAACACTCTGTTTTAGAGAGTATAGGCCGCAAAATGAAATTATGTCAGAAAGATGACTTGCATTTGTTATATGTCACAATGCAGATCTATACAGGTAGTTCTTGACTTATGACTTTAATGGAGGTCATTCATTATAGTCATAAGTTTTGATGAGTGTAAAATGAGTCATTGTGACTAGATTCATTTTTATGGCCTTTTTTGTGTTGGTCATTAAATGAACACTGCAATTGTTTAAAGAATGCTGCTTTTGTTAAACGAACTCATTATCCACTGTGGGGACATTTTTGCAAAAATTGGAAGTAAACTCACATTTTTGGCAAAAGTGTCATAAATTCTCATGTGGCCTTAGGACCCTGCAAAAAACCATAAATACAGGCCGGTTGCCAAGCACTCAAAATGCAGTCACATGACTCCACGGAGGCGGTTGGAAATTTGGAATTGGGGAGAGGTTCGTTACAATTTAAAATGGTCACTAAGCAACCAAACAATTGAGTCAATGATTACCTGTATGTTGCATTTTTATGTCATGTCATAGCAAACATTTAATCACTTGCCCCACTCCTCCATCATTCTTCCCCTCCTCCACCCGGGATACCTATGTTTCAGAGATGAAATCCTGTGTTAGAAAGATTGTCAGAGAAGATTCCTTTTATTGAAGTTCTGTATTTTGAAAAGCTGATACTGACTTGGGACATGAAGACTGCTGGCTATTTAATTATGATTGTTGAAGAAGCCGCAATTGCATGGATTTATACAACATACTAAGCCAAAACCAAACAAACCATATTGGGGTCTAGCATGATGTGTGAACACTTCTCTGTTTTAGAAGAACAATATTCTCATCCATTCAGTTTTAAACAGTTTTAAGAAAAAAATGGAAGAAAATGTAGCAGCATTCATTCACTGTGTTTTCTAACACAGAGGTCCTTTGTATGCATGCGTCTTTTAACTGATATAGCAGTTAATTACATTGCCTTATAATTATTAGTTTTAAAATAAATTTTGTCCTGCTTTTATTCTTTGACATGTGATTTCTAGGGTGCAATTAATTTCATCAATATTTCAAAACCTTTTGAAACATAACTATAGAGTTAATTTTATGCATAACTTTCACTGATTATCTTCTTTTCAGATAAATTTTGGGACAGATTTTTGGTTCAGGGAAAGATGCATGATTCATTTTATTTCATTTCATTTTATGGTCTTCTTTTAAAGAGTTAAGAAAGAACAATGCTTTTTTAGGGATGTCCTGTAGTGAATGGCTGTCCAATCAATGTAGTGTCGGCAGTGTAACATAATGGCAGGTAATAAAATTTTCTGTTGTTTTGTCTTTAATATAGCAAATATTTGAAGACAAAATGACAATACTTTTGAGCACTTGTTGTGACTCTGCATGTAGATCTTGTTCATCCTCTTTTAGGGGATAACATTTTCTTGTTATTTCTCTGTGATAGAGATGGGCAACCATAGCCCTCATGTTGCGCATCGGGAAGTCCTATGAGCCTAACAGAGCATGTCTTGAACATCTCAAGACTTTTGGCATAGTTTTTTGGGTCACTTTAAGGTATACATTGGTATGGTTGTTGCCATTATCCTCTTACTTTTTTAAATCGATGTTGCAGACGTGGAATTTTTAAGATGCAAAATGTTGCACTATTTTGAATTATTCTTAACACTGGACTGAAATGTCCTTGCGCAGATTCCTGTCACATTATGAATTCACTGCCCACATTCCCTTTCTATAAGGTGTTTCTTTTGGACTGCATCAGGATGTCTTGTGCTCTTCCATCAGATCTTTGGAATCATTTTGAGGGTTATGGTTTTCCGTAAGGTAGAAATAACATTACCATTAACTTCCCATCTCCTGAAATAGAACATTTTGCCATTGATTCCTATGAGTTGTTTCTTTAGTGTGGTGCTGTTCCAAACATTTTTTTCCACTTCTGCACCATTGAGCTATTAGAAAAATCAGAAGTGGTAGCAAAAACTAAGATGTCATTATCCTCTCTGTGGTTAAGACAAGTGAAACCCACCTCAGATAAACTGGAAGTTTTGCAGGTAGGAGCGGGAGACCACTTGGTCTCCATATTGAGTGCCAGAGTGGTAGGCATATGATGAGGGGGCAATGACAGGAATAGTGATATAATGATAACTTTAGACAGTATAGGAATATCAAGGCTTTTAGCCAGGAGTGGGTTCCAGCTTTTTCTACTGCCAGTGTGCTCAGGAATGCTCTAAAAATAATGCTTCTGTGTATACTCAGAAGCATTAGTGGCAAAACCTACGGCACTACCAATAGAACTGGTTCAGGGGCATGGCTGGCCGAATTACTACCTACTCGGCTGAACTGGTAGGAACCCACCACTGCTCTTAGCTGAGATTACTTGAAATGAAAATCGGGTTCTAAATGGACTTGCATTACAGTGAAAAGAGACTTGTAGATTTTCCATCTAACTTTGGATTCCCTAAGTTTTTACTCACTGTTGTCTGTTTAAACTTAAGGTCTCACAATTCGATGCAACACAACCATTAATAATAATACGGGGATGGCATCTGGGGGTTTGTTTGTTGGTTCTTGTATAGAATTGGAAATGTATATCATGAGCTTAGTGTGCTTCTGATGCATTCTTTTTGGGCAACCTCTATTATAATACAGTAATAGAAAATGTATCTTTTGTTTTTATAGCCTTGATATAAATAATTCATACTTGACATGCACTTTTATTTCTGTTTTAGAACACTTGTAGACACAAAAGGGACAGATATGCAGGAAGAGTTGATATAACTTCATTTTGTAAACTTAGTAATGAAATTCAAAGATATAAAATTTAAAGTAAGCTATTTTCTATTTCTGAGTAAACAGCAGTCAAATGGCAGTCAAGATTTCCATTTCTCCTACTGTCTAGATATTTTTCATAATCAGTATTCTATAATTTTGATCATATTCCTAGATTCAGAATGAATAAAAATACTTGTTAAGACAATACAAGTATGAAAATAAAACTATTTCTAATAACAAAAAAACAATTAGTATCAATGAATCTGTAATAGATAATTACTATTTTGATTTGTTTCCAGGAAAAATTCCTGTCTGTGGTTCTTCTGAAAGTGTAACTACAGCAGTGGTGGGTTGCAGACGGTACGCCACAGTACGGGGGTACCGGAGCCATCCTGGAACACTGGATACAGTTCCAGTACGGTGCTCCGGAGGGCCCACCCACCGCCTGAGCTCCTTACCGGTGTTAAAGCTTCTGCACAGGCGGATGATGCGTACAGCTCCTGCGCAACACTCTGCAGAGCAGCTGGAGCATTGCAGAGGCGCTAAGACGCATGCGCACATGTGCGCGCGCACTGCACGAATCTATGAGGATGCCACCAGCCTCTTCCAACCGTACTGGTTGGAACGGGATTTGCAACCCACCACTGAACTACAGGTATTATACATCTGAAAGATTAACATTCCCTCCCTCCCATTTTATAGCGTTAAATTTGTATTACCCAAAGTTTTCACTTACAGGTAGTCCTTGATTTACAATAATTTGTTTAGTGACCATTTAAATTTACAATTTCAGTGAAAAAAGTGATTTATGATTGTTGTTCACACAACTGTTGCAGCACCCTCATGGTCACCTTATCAAAATTCAGACACTTGGCAACCGAGTCATATTTATGACAATTACAGTATCCTGGGATCATGTGATCATATTTTGCAAAGTCAATGGAGAACTACAGTAATTAACAACTGTGGCTAGAAAGATTATAAAAAGATTATAAAATCAGGCAAAACTCATTTAACAACTGTTTCATTTAGCAACAGAAACTTTGAGCTCAATTGTGGATATAAGTCGAGAACTGCCTGTAGTATAAAATCCGATATTCCCATATTTATTCCTAAGAGTACATCACATATCAGATAGAACTGCACAATGTAAGCTTTTAGCAGTTGAGATGTCTCAATTTATACTTGGATAAATAAAATTAGACTCTACTTCTCTGCATCTTTGATCTAGGAAAAGGAATTAATTTTGGAAGTCTGCTATTTACAGAAGCTAGAGACTCAGCTTAATGAGTCATTTTGCATGTGGAGTTTGTGGCATCATTAAGAGGGCTGATATTGTCATTCCTCAAGGAAGGATGGAATTCCATTCTCTGTGCTCTTCTTCTCATTAGCAAGTTTGTTGTGCTATAGAGTAGTTCAGAGGGGAAGGGTTTTCCTTTTCCCTAAGGTGATATCTAGGGTGCCTTACAACCAAAATTTTAGTCCTTGGTATTAATTAATGTAATATGTTGCAACTATTGTAATTCGTGGCTACCATACTTATTATCTAGTCATGAAATGCTTAATTAGACTGCTTTTCTTTCAGAGGTGGAAACAACTACTAGCCCCAAGGAAATCAATGGTATAATTTACTTGTTTCTATCCATAGAGAAATATAGATGAAAAATGCTACATGGAATAACATGGATGTTTTAGCAAGGTCCTGGAAGCCAGAACCTCAAAGGAATAGACGTTTGCTTAGCAGCTAACAAATATTGTTTGCAAAACCCACTTTTGAAAATTTGTATCATTGTCAAATGTTCTGTTTTACATTTTATCCCTCATTTGTAAACTTTCTACATATATGGAAGTTAAAAAAAGTAATTTGTATGCATGAGCATGAAGATATATGACAATACAACAAAGTTTCTCCATTTCAATTAAACATCTCTTTCTGGTATGCTTTGTTTTCTTAATGGGGATTAATGATTATGATGCTTTAAATGATGAAGATATATTTTATACCTTGTATTTTCACCGTGAAATTATTTAATTAATTATTTTGCCATTTCATCATGTCTTCTCTACATTGCTTTACATTTCATATCAAGATATCTTGTTCAGTATTTCTTTACTTAGACCATTCCCGTATAG